TGCCTGCCCTGCCCCGCTGGCAGCCGTCCCGCTGCCGTCTCCGCTCTCCGTGGAAAGCTCTGTCCCCGTGCTCTCACCTCACCCGAAAGAACGCTGCAGATCGGTGCAACTCTGCTGGCTGAGGGGCAAGAGGAAACAAAGCAGCTTGAAACTGTGTAAAACCGGGAGCAAACAGCAAATCATCCTGTTGGGAACCAAAATACCCTGGAGCTGATCCCCGTCCGGTGTCCGTCAGAGCCGTGTTTGCTTTGCGCCGGCGACTGGACATCGCTTCCCCTGCGACGTCCGCGCCTGCGCCTGTTCAGGTTGAATTCTGGTTTTAATCACTATTTTCACACTTACTCTTGGCGCCCAGGGAAGCTGTCAATTGTTGGGTATTTTTACAGCTTGAATACTGAATTTAATCCTTTTTCTCTTCCCCAGTAAGGGATGCAAAGACTAAAAACCTAGTTCCTATGGATCCTAATGGCTTGTCAGACCCCTATGTGAAGCTTAAACTAATCCCTGACCCCAAAAACGAAAGCAAACAGAAGACCAAAACTATCAAGTGCTCCCTGAATCCTGAGTGGAACGAGACATTTAAATTGTAAGTAGAAGAAAAATGTTTAAACTATTTTTTCTCACCCCTAAGAATTAATGTGATTGTATTTGCTCTGAGTTAATTATTCAGAGACATTAAGCTGATTCAGCTGAGAAATAATGCTTTTGGGTCCTGTGAGTGTGACTCCAACGCTCACACCTCTGCCCTGACCCCCGGTCGCAGCCGAGGGCGCCAGGGCAGGGGCTCTGCGCTCTCCGTCTCGGACGGACGCGCTCGGGAGATGGAACAGCGGAGCCCTGACGGGTCGCTGAGCACCGGCCCTGCGTTTGGCACCCGTGTGTTTGGGAGCGTGGCGGTGGAGCGAGGGCTTCCAGAAGACACCCATCCCTTTCTCTTGCCTTCCTTCCAGCCAGCTGAAAGAGGCCGACAAAGACAGGCGGTTGTCTGTGGAGATCTGGGACTGGGATCTGACCAGCAGGAACGACTTCATGGGCTCCTTGTCCTTCGGGATTTCCGAGCTGCAGAAGTCAGGGGTCGACGGATGGTAAGAGTTGAATTATTTTGAAAACACTATGAGCAGAAAGGAGTCCTGAGCTTTTTGTACCGCTGGCAGGCGTGGCAGCCCGTCGTGCTTTACCAGCCCCCCTCCATCCAGGGACCGCCGGCCGT